TCATCATCATATCATCATCACCACCACCACCATCATCATCATCATCATCACCATCATCATCATCATCATCATCATCATCATCATTCTCATCATTGTCGTTTAGGGTTTAGGGTTTAGGGTTTAGGGCGTTGCCCGCCAAGCGGTGTGGGCGCGCGCACGCATCCCACCCCCACATCAAGATTGTTGGGGGTGGGATGCTGTGTGCGCGCTCGCGTTGCTTGTCCTCCCGCCCCAATCCACCCCGGCTATTCTTTTCTAGGGTTTAGGGACACAGAGAGTTCTTCCCCCCAGCCCCCACTCATGGGGGTGTCGAACACCACGTCGTCCTACCTGAGAACGCGCAAGCGCTGTAACGCATTGGGGAACAGCCTCCAGGTTTAGTCCGCGCGTTGGGGAACGCCCGACAGGGCGATCTCCTCCGACTCTCGCAGGAGCGGTTCTGCGCGGTGGCGCACGCGCAGCGCTTTGTCGGCCAACGAGGTGTCGTACCTTGTGGCCCATGTTACGCTGGCGACGCCAGAGCCGCGCCTGCGCGCTCTTTTTCGATGCCCACGCGCGCTGGCGAGCGCATAGGGCGATTGAAGTAAACTTACGCAGATGCCTCAGTCTCAGAAGCGATCATGGTGGGCCACGACAAAGGGGACCAGCTCACCGGACGCTTCGCGGCTCGCGCGCGCGCGAGGTTCCCGCGCTGACACCACGTCGTCCTAGAGTCTCCGGGGTTCGTTCGCGCGTTGGGGGACGCCCGACCGGGCGACCTTTTCCGATTCTCGCAGGAGCGATTCTGCGCGGTGGCGCACGCGCAGCGCTTTGTCTCGGATGGTGGAAGGGGGAGCTCGAGGGGGCAGGCCTGGCGCCCCCTCGATGCGACGCACCAGGCAGCGCGTCGCGTGCGTCAGCCGGCCGGCCGGCCGGCTTCCGGATTAGGTGAAACGCGATGTTCTTGAAAAGCAACACCCAATCAGCCACCATCGCGTTTCCCATAATAGAAATTCTGGGGGGCGCGTCTGTGGCTCATTGGGTGTGGTTCGTTGAAGAAAATTGTGTTCCCATCAGTCAGGATTCAGATTCTCGGAATTCCGAATTATGGGAAGCGCAGTTTTTTCAAACAAGCATCACCCAATGAGCCACAATCGCGTTTCCCATTAAATTCTGGGAATCGCGATTGTGGTTCATTGAGTGCGTTTGTTGAAAGAGAAGGGCGCACCCCATAATTCAAAATTCGAATTCTCGGAATTTCGAATTATGGTAAACTAAATTTCCGTCAAAAAACAGCACCCGATGAGTCACAATCGCGTTTCCCAGAATTAGAAATTATGGGGAACGCGATTGTGGCTCAATGACAGATTTTTTAAGCAGATTCTCATAGTTGTTTCTCATCGTGTTGTTGCGTTGTGAGTTGTAAAGCGATTGTAAGTGAGTGTTGTTCCCATCGCGCAGAATTCGAGTCCTGGGAAAACCGCATATGCCGTGCAATTTGTGCCGGGGGCAATTTGTGCATATCTTGTGGAGGTCCCAGCGCGGCTCTGGCGATTTGGCTGTCGGGCTTTCAATGTATATGATTGTCTTGCGCGCTGCCCTTCCCAGCAAAGCAGGACCTCGGGGTCCACCTCACGGGCACGGCGAGGTTGCCATGGCACTGTGTAGGGAGTTGTGATGATCCAGTTGTGGAACAACAAATAATCCTTGTGCCGGGGGCAGTCGTCCAGGACTGCGTTTCTCATAATTCGCACTTCTCAAATTGTTGAATTATGGGAAACGCAAACCCGGACGGCAGCCCATGTCAGCACACCCCTTACACGTTTCGTGGCCCCACAGGGAGCTCCACTGAAGGCCCCAGTGCCGCCGCCCGCATGCGTCACCCACGCCCATCTTGGCACAGCCCTCGCGCGTTTCGTGGCCCCATAGGGAGCTCCACCGAAGGCACCAGTTGCTGCGTTCGCATGCGCCCACCGCACCCATTTCGGCGCGCCCATCACACGCGTCGCGGCTCCATAGGGAGCTCCACCGACGGCCCCAATGGCTGCGTTCGCATGCGCCCAGCGCGCCTATTTCGGCACACCTCTCACGCGCTCCGTGGCCCCAGAGGAAATCCCACCGACGGCCTCCGTGGCGGCTTTCGCATGCGCCCACCGGACGAATTGATGCACACCCCTCACACGTTTCGTGGCCCTAAAGTGGGCACCTCAGAACGCGGTGCATACAACGACGGTGTTCTCAACTGCATATGGTTGGGCCCTTCGCCAGGCTAATTTTCCGTACCGAGTTCGTGCGTCCAGATGGATTGCTGGCCGCGGGGAAGGGGTCGAGGCCCGCGTCATGAAACAGTGGCGACCGCGGAGGTGAGGAGTCCAACGCGTTCCCCACTTGTTGTCGCTCCGAGTAGGGTTCCGACGACTTCCAGCGGGAGCTATACCAGATCATCCTGGGGCGCGTGGAGGATTTGTAGACCATTATCCGGGGGAGGGCAACCTCGAGCTAACGATATGAATTTAGCAATTTGCCAGCCGATGCAGATGCCGATCACTGTCTGCGAAGGACACAGGTGCAGCCCGAGCCTGATCGGTTTAAAGCCTGGCCTTCTGCTGCAACGGCTCTAACTAAGGATATTGTACATTGTTCTCCTATCGTGTTGGCATGGCAGCACGCCTCGATAAACATGCGGCGGGGGGACTGATATCGGACTGAAGGCCTCTCGGCGCCAGCCAACGGTTTGGCCAGTTTGGGGGGCTTGGAGCACTTCAACCAACAGAAAGCTACAACCGACATGAGACCGACGAGCTGCGCCGGAAATCCCATCAATGTGCTCACCGGCGCTCCCGTACACCCGCGCTGCAGTGCCTGTACCTGGCTTCGCGCCGCTGCGCAGCCTGGGTGGTCCTGAGCTCGCCGGGCTCCTACCCGGGAGGGGGAAGTAAGAAGACTGGCGCCGCCACCGTTGGGAGCCCGAAAGCGTGCTCTCCTCCGCTGATGTCTGAAGGCCCTGCGTCTCCTCAACAGCCGTACGCTGATGGGCTTCCCACGGCGGCGTGGCATCGAGGCTGCCTGTGCCCCCACCAAAACCTCCAGCGCGTGGGACGCCCGAACTCTCCACAGCTCTTCTCCCTGGGGCAGCTCTTTTCGCCGCCGGTCGTTCTCTGAAGGTCTCGGGGTCCGAAAAAGGGTTGCAGACTCTTGGGCAGTGCCAGTGGGGGTCACCACCAGGGGGGTCACCAGTTCCTCTTGGAAATCGAGGTTCCAGGATAGAAGCTCGGGGGCGGTTTTGGACATTAGGTGTCGTCTTGGAAGGCTCTCGAGTGTTCTTGGAGGCTCACTTCCTCGAGGAAATGGCGCTTCTTCGAGGAAGTGGCGATCCCTCCAGGCGCTTCGTAACGGCGGGGGCGATCGGTGGGGGGATCTAGGGTTGCAGGCAAGGTGCCCTGAAGGGCCCCCCCGGGCCCCGCAGGTGCGCGAGAGGTGCACATTTCTTCATGTTCCGTCGATTGCCCCCCAGTGGGCAGTTCCCGACAGACGCCAAAAGAAACAGCGCTCGTCGGAGTTCTGCGGCTGGGGATCGAAACAAAACTTTCACTCCAGGCATGTCCTGGGGCGTGTCCTGATCAGAGTTTCGATGGGGTTCCAGCCGCGGCGACGCTGGCTCCGCGGGAGGTCCAAAGAGGCCGTGTGACATCCAGGCCTCAATCCTCGAACCTCGCGGCTTTAGAGGTCAGGGAAGTCTCCTCTTGTGTGTAGCGGCGGGGGCTCACCCAGGACCTCCCCTCGAAGCGCGAGGTGGTGATCTGGGTGCCGATCAGCGCGTGGCAGAGGACTGGTCAGAGCGGCCCTCGTCTGTCCCGCTGCCGCGTGGCATCCGCCATTCCTGCCAATGTTGGCCCGCCCATATTTCTTCCCCTCCTCTCCTCCTCACCTTCCCTCCCTCCTACTCCACTCCTCTTCTGCTCCTCCCCTTCCCTTCTTTCTCTCCTCGAGCTTCAAGGCTCGAGGTGATGCCACAGGGTCTGTGACGCATCCTCCTTCTCCTTCTCGTCCTCCTTCTCCTTCTCGTCCTCCTCCTCCTCCTCCTACTCCTACTCCTCCTCCTACCTGCTCCAAGGTCGAGGGCCGTCTGGCGAGAAATAAGACAGCGAGTTTCACAGGCCACCCCTATTTTCTCGCAAAGCTGGCCAGGCACAGAGTGCTTGGCTGGTGGGCTACTTTTCGATAGCGCGTATGAGCATTATTTCTGTTGGCTTGGAGCCTCGTTATCGGAGCCCCTCGTCGTTATCTGGAGCCTCTGGGGAGCCTCGCCCCTCCTCCACACAGTACCCAACGCGTTGGATCGCGAGCCTCTCATTTCGTTCCGTTTCTCTCCTCCTCCTCCTCTTCATCTCCTCTCCTGCTCCTCCCTCTCCTCCGGCGCGGCGGCAGTCGCAGCCGCAGAGGCCGTCTGCGCGACAGAGACGCTGCTGGACGCCAGGGCCCCTATCGTCAAGACGGTGTGATAAGAATCACCCTGAGGCCAGGAAGGACCCCGTCTTCGGGCCGTTCCTTCCATTCGCGCTTGGGAACCTCTTCGTGGCAAAGGCCCGCCGTGGCCAGGAACGCTTGACGCTCCTCCTGGTAGCACAGTGATGGGCTGCCGCCCTCCGCCCCCCTGGGGAATTTCTGGGGTCACCCGCGGGGGCGCGAAGACGATCGCGCCTCGCGCGTCGCGGTCTGGGCCGGAAGTGCGGTTGCCTTTGTCCAAGGGGGCGGGGGCGAGGGCGCGAGGGCGCGACGATGGTCGCGCGCCGCGCATCGGCGGGGCGCGCTGCGCGAAGACAGGTGACCTAGGAATGCCGAGGGCAGGGAGCTTTGCGAAGACCAGCAAGGAGGGAGCTGCCCAGGGTTGGTCAGGCATTTCCCTCCTCCCCCCCCTTCTCGAGGAAAAGCCCCCGCCACGCCAAGATCGGCCCCCTCCTGCTCGGCCTGTTCAGAGGGGGGGTGCTTCACCCGCTGGCATCGACAGTTCAATTCAGGTCTGGGCTCCTGGGCGTACGCCCGCTCAGAATCCTACGATATGGGTTGGGGGGAGGGGAGCGAGCCCAAGAGGCACAGGGTCGTTTCGGCCCCGTTTTTGTGTTTTCATCCGTGCCTCCCGTGGCGATCTTCTGGCGGCGGACTAGCCATTCACCATTCTGTGATTGGGGGGTCTACGCGGTTATACGAGGCCCCAAGAGTTCAACGTTTTGATGTGCTCAATGCGGGGTCCCCGTAAGTTCCGACCCTGGTCCCAGGGGCGTTTTACCACTCTGGATTGTGTGTGTTGTCTGTCGGGGGGGGCCCAGCGAGGGTTTCCGGAGGCTGAAAGCTGGGAAAAACCCTCCGCACTGTTGTTCAATGCATGTAGGTCTGGGCCTCGTCCGCTTCCTCCTCCTGGAATGTCGTTGTCGTCGTCGTCTTCGTCGTCGTTATCCTCACCTGGCCTGTTCGACGCAGATCGGTTCGGCGCGCAGCTCGAGCAAGCGGCTGGACCGGCAGACACCTTGCGAGCAGCCGCGTGCTCTGCACTCCTCCTTCCCATCTCCTCTGGCTCCTGGCTCCGGCTTCTGCTGCTCCTCGATTTGTTTTTTCATCCCCGAGCGATAATGGGCGTGACCGGGGGGAGGGAGGATTCGTGCGAGAGCGAGCCCGCGTAGACGACAGGCGCGGCAATGAAGACTGAGACAGCGACGACTTCAGTGACGTCCCCCTTTTCTTCATCTGGACATCTTTCATGACAAACGAGGAAACACATATGATAGAGCGAGGGGGAGTTCATCTTGCTGTTCTCCCCGAGGCAATTGAGGCAAGCGCGCATGGCGTTGTTACGCCCACTCTGGTGTGCTACTCGCGCCGCCTGATGGCACCTGGGGTGCCCAAGCGCCACGCTGCGTATATCGCCGCAGCTATTTGTGTATGAGCCTTAGTTCGAGTGAATCTGACTGTGAGTGATCTGAGTGCGAGCGAGTCCGACTGTGAGTGGACCCAGGTATGACGAAGCCCGAGTGTAAGTGTGTTTGGATATAGTTAGCGTGTGTACGGTTGGGTCTGAGTATGGGTGAGTCTGAGTGCGAGCGAGCCTGAGTGCAAGAGGGTCTGAGTGTGAGGAACGCGAACCTGAGTATGAGTGAGCTTGGGTGCGGGGCGCTTGAGTGTGAGTGAGTCTGCGGGCTGGTGGGTTGAAGTCTAAGTTTGCGAGGGCCTGAGTGTGAGTTGGTTAGGGCGCGGGTGAGTCTGAGTTTGAGCGAGTTTGGGTATGAATGAATCTGTATTGTCCAGTACAAGTATGCTCGAATCTGAATATGAGCGCAACCCAATGTGGCGCTGGGCCACCCGGAGAATCAGTCTGGGGGGGAGCAGAAACAGGCTATCCTCTTGAGACATTTCCCAATCTGAGCGCGAGTACTGGTGCGTCCCCCCTGGGCGACTCCCCCTTTGGGGTGCCTGCGTGCCGCGCGTGCAATATCGCGGTAGACACTGCATTATAAAAAGGATACGCCAGAAGGGGGGAGCAGGAACAGGCAAACCGCCTGAGACACCCCCACAACCTGGACGCGAACCTTAGAGTGTCCCGGCCCCCGGCGGTCCCCCTTTGGGGTGCCCAAGTGCCACGTTGAGAACTGGACCACCCAAACAGAAATCAGGGGGGCAGGAACAGGCAAACCTTTTGGGACATCCACACAAACTGCCCCGATAACAGGGAATGCTGAGCACGCAGACAGACAAACCGCATGAGACATCACCACAAGAACGCGAACGGGCCTGCGATATACCCTCTTGGCGCCCCCTTGGGGGTACGGAAACCAGCGCCTCGCTTGATCCCTTACATTTTGCTCCGAAAACAAAGGGTGTTGAGCACGTTAACAGGCAAACCGCTTGAGGCGGCATCCCTTCAATGTGCGCGCGAACGGGCCCGTGATATACATAATTATATTTTTTTCGGCGTCCCCCTCGGAAGTGTTGAAACCATTGCCTCGCCTGAGACATCCTTACATCATGCGTGCGAGCCTGAGTATGAGTGATTCCGACGCTTGGTCTGAGAGGGGCCTGAGTCTAAGTTAGTCAGTGAGTATGAAAGAGCTTGAGAGTGAATGAGTCCTAGTGTGAGGGGGCCTGGCTGTGAGCGAGTCCGAATGTGAATAAGTCTGAGTGCGACTGAGCCTGAGTAAAGGTGGGCGCATGAGTGAGCCTGAGAACGGGGGAGTCTGAGCGTGAGCGAGCCTGAGTGTGAGCGATGGGTAAGTCTGAGCGTGACTGCGTCTGAGTATGAGCCAGTCTGAATGGTCAGTGAGTATGAGCATGAGTATGAGTGAGCAAGAGGAGGAAGAAAAGGTGAGGATGAGTGTTCTTCGGGGCAGCCTGGACAATAACAAGGACTTCGCCTTACGACACGGGAAATTCTTCAGGCGGAACAAGGCCCCTGACAATTTTCCTAGTGTCCATGGGGGTCGGCATCATTAACGACCAGTGATGGTGATGATGCCAGGATACCACGATGCGACCTGTGAGGCCGTTCAGACCTTTGGGTTCTGGGGTCCGTGGGGCTTCTGAGACTTGCAGTGCTTCTGAAACCTGTGCGACCTGCGAGGCCTGTGCGACCTGCGGGGCCTGTGCGACCAGTGGGACCAGTGGGGTCCCTGGAACTTGTGGGATCTGTGGGGCCTTTTGGACCTGCGAAGCTTGTGGGGCCCGTGAAGCTTGTGCGGCATGCTGCAGGGTTTGTGGGACCTGTGGGGAATGCTGGACCTGTTTGACTTTCGAACCCTGGCGGATGTGCGGGACCTGTTGGACCTGCGGGGCCCGTAGGACATACAGAACCTTTGGGACCTGTGCAACATATGGGACCCGTGTGATTTGTGAGACTTTTGTGACCCATGGTACCTGTGTGATTTGCGGGGCCTTTGGAGCCAGTGGGCTGGGCCGTGTGGGATTAGTTGGACCTACGCGACCTGCGGGACCCGTGGGCCCTGTCAGTCTTCTTCGGCCTGGTAGGCCTGTGGCGCCTGTGTGACCTGTGCGCGCCTGTTTCTCGAGAATTCCTCGCGATTCGTTCGCAGACGAGGCTCCCGCTCGAGACGTCCCCACGGGTTGCCCCCTTCGGGTGCTCAAGTATCATGCCCGCCACAGTAAGCCGATTCGCCCACAAACCAGGCTCCCGCTGGAGACGTCCTCCAGATTCAGACACGAGGAAAGTTTGGGTGACCCCTTTCGGATTCGAGCCCAGAGGCGGGGACACCACAGGGAGAAGGTTCCTGCTCGAGACTTCCTCGCTATTCACTCACAAGCCATGCTCCCGCTCAGCATTTCCTCGAGATTCAGGCGTGAGGAATCCCAAAGTGACGACGGTTACACGGTATGGATGACCCCGCTCGGATTCGGTCATGGGGGCGGGGACCCCAAGAGGAGAGGGCTCCTGCTCGAGATGTCTTCGGGATTCACCCACAAATCATGCTCCCGCCCGAGACTTCCTCCAGGTTCAGGCCTGCGGAGGCCACAAGTAAGGACAGTCACAGGGTTTGGACGACCCCGGTCGGATTCAAACATGGAGGTGGGGACCCTGTACAGAAGAGGTTCCCGCTGGTGACTTCCACGCGATCCGCTCCCGCTCGAGACCCCCTCCAGATTCAGGCCAGTTGGGCTTTGAAACGAGGACAGTCACGAATCCGAGCGGGGTCATCCAAACCTTGTGACTGTCTCAGGGTTTGCATGACCCCGCTCGGATTCGAACATGGAGGTGGAAGTGGGGTCCCCATTGGGACGGGCTCCCGCCCGAGACCTCCTACCGACCCATTCAGAAAGCAGGCCACACATCATGTTCCCGCTCGAGATTTCTTTCAGATTTAGGCCTGGGAGCCCATCTGTCACGAGTGTTACAAGTGTTGGGTAACCCGCTCGGCCTCGATCATGGATGGCTTGACCACATAGAACGAGCTTCCGCTCGAGACCTCCCACCGATTCACTCACAAACCAGGCTCTGGCTAGAGCCTTCCTCCATATTCAGGCCTGACGCCCCATAAACCAGGCTCCCTCTCGAGACCTCCTCCAGATTCAGGCATGAGGAGCCCAAATGTGTCGACAGTTACGAGGGTTTGGGTGACCCCGTTTGGTTTTGATCGTGGAGGTGGAGACCTCATAGGGACGGGCTCCCGCTGGAGACTTTCTCGCGATCCCCGCACAAACCATGCTCCCGTTCTGGACCTCCAAACTCAGGACGGAGGAACCCAATTGTAAGGACAGTCACAGGGTTTGGATGACCCCGCTCGGATTCGAACACGGAGGCGGGGACCCCACACGGATGAGGTTCCCGCTGGAGATTTCCTCTCGATTTTCACAAACCTGGCTCCCGCTCGAGACCCTCTCAAGACTCAGGCCGGTAGGACTTTGAAACGAGGACAGTCACGAATCCGAGCCGTGTGACTGTTTCAGGGTTTGGATGACCCCGTTCTGATTTGAACCTGTAGGTGGGGACCCCATGGGGTCTGGCTCCCGCTCGAGACCTCCTACCGACCCATTCAGAAAGCAGGCCACACATCATGTTCCCGCCCGAGACCTCTTCCAGATTTAGGCCTGGGAGCCCATCTGTCACGAGTGTTACAAGTGTTGGGTAACCCGCTCGGCCTCGATCATGGATGGCTTGACCACATAGAACGAGCTTCCGCTCGAGACCTCCCACCGATTCACTCACAAACCAGGCTCTGGCTGGAGCCTTCCTCCATATTCAGGCCTGACACTCGAGACTTCCTCGGGTTCCACCCACAAACCAGGCTCCCTCTCGAGACCTCCTCCAGATTCAGGCATGAGGAGCCCAACTGTGACGACAGTTACGAGGGTTTTGGGTGACCCCGTTTGGTTTTGATCGTGGAGGTGGAGACCTCATAGGGACGGGCTCCCGCTGGAGACTTTCTCGCGATCCCCGCACAAACCATGCTCCCGTTCTGGACCTCCAGACTCAGGACGGAGGAACCCAATTGTAAGGACAGTCACAGGGTTTGGATGACCCCGCTCGGATTCGAACATGGAGGTGGGGACCCCACACGGATGAGGTTCCCGCTGGAGATTTCCTCTCGATTTTCACAAACCTGGCTCCCGCTCGAGACCCTCTCAAGACTCAGGCCGGTAGGACTTTGAAACGAGGACAGTCACGAATCCGAGCCGTGTGACTGTCTCAGGGTTTGGATGACCCCGTTCTGATATGAACCTGTAGGTGGGGACCCCATGGGGTCTGGCTCCCGCTCGAGACCTCCTACCGACCCATTCGGAAAGCAGGCCACACATCATGTTCCCGCCCGAGACCTCTTCCAGGTTTAGGCTTGGGAGCCCATCTGTCACGAGTGTTACAAGTGTTGGGTGACCCGCTCGGCTTCGATCGTGGATGGTTTGACCACATAGAATGAGCTCCCGCTCGAGACCTCCCACCGATTTACTCACAAACCAGGCTCTGGCTAGAGCCGTCCTCCAGATTCAGGCCTGACGCTCGAGACTCCCTCGGGATTCACCCACAAACCAGGCTCCCTCTCGAGACCTCCAGATTCAGGCATGAGGAGCCCAAATGTGACGACAGTTACGAGGTTTTGGGTCACCCCTTTCAGAATCGATCATGGAGGCGGGGACCTCATAGAGGCGGGTTCCTGCTGGAGTCTGCCTTGCGATCCCCGCACAAACCATGCTCCCTCACTGGACCTCCATACTCAGGACTGAGGAACCCAATGGTAAGGAAAGTCACAGGGTTTAGATGACCCCGTTCGGATTCGAACATGGAGGTGAGGACTCCATAGCGAAGGGTCCCCACTCGAGATTTCCTTGGAATTCACTCAGAAAGCAAGCTCCCGCTCGTGACCCTCTCAAGATCAATGTGTGAGTGAACGTGTCAGTGTGTGATGGTGCGCGATGATGATGTTGCTGATGACGATGATGATGATGCTGATGATGATGATGGTGGTGGTGGTGATGGAGATGATGGTGATGCTGATGCTTGGTGACGATGATGCCGCTGATGATGATGATGCTGACGGTGATGGTGATGGTGATGGTGATGATGATGCTGATGATGATGATGCGCCGGGTGATGATCGTGATGATGATAATGATGTTGATGTTGGCGGTGATGACGATGATGCTAATTATGACGCAACTGTTGGTAATGAAGATGAGGAAGCTGATGACGGTCATGGCGATGGTGGTGATGCTGATGGTGGTGCTTGTGATGTTGATGGTGACGTTGACGGTTATGGTTATAGGCATGGTGATGGTGATGGTGATAGTGATGATGATGATGATGATGCTGATGGTGATGAAGGTTATGGTGATTGTGACGGTAGTGGTGATGCTGGTCAGGAGGATGATGATATTGATGATGTTGATGTCGATGATGATGACTATGGCGATGGTGGTTGTGGTGATGATGGTTGTGGTGGTGATGATGAAGCTGATGATGCTGATGCTGATGATGGTGATGATGAAGGTGGAACTGATGGTAAAACAGATGATTCTGATTCTTATCATAATGTTGATGACGATGAGCATGGTGGTGATGGTGGTGATGATGATGCTTATGATGATGAGTATCATCATCACCATCATCATGCTGATGATGATGACGATGATGATCACGGTGATGCGGATTATGACACTAATGCTGTTGATGATGATGATGTTGTTGCTGATGCTGATGCTGATCATGGCGACGATGATGAGCAGGAGGTGGAGGAGGAGGATAAGGAGTATTGTGGTGATGCTGATGGCGTGATGGTGATGATGAGTGTGAAGGGAGGAGAGGCGGACGGGTGGGTGTTGTACTGCGCGGGGGTGTCCAGAGAAAACAAGAACTAGATTTAGGATGCGGGGACAATTGGTTCCTCTCGTCCTCGCGTGCGCAGGCCGCCCCCAGACTTCGCTGGGAGGCGCCCGCAGAATCGCCCCGCACGAGCGCGAGGAGTTGGACATCGAAAGCTGCCAAGGTCACAAGATGCATTTCTGAGCTCACGTCTTGGCCCAGGACCCCAGCCTGCCGTGGCAGGTCCAGGGCCGCCCAGGGCACCATGGGCATCGCGCGCTTGACGCTGGCCGCCCTGCTGGGGCTTCTCTGCGGGGCGCCGATCCCCGCTGAGGCAGAGAGGCCGCCCCACCTGCTGTTCGTGGTGGCCGACGACCTCGGGTGGGACGACGTCGGCTTCCGCAGCCACCAGATCAGGACCCCGCACATCTCGAAGAAGAAAGCCCAAACCTCCGACGATAGGTTTTTTTTCAATCCTGGCGTTCTTCTCTCGACTTCGGCCTGGGCCCCTCATCGGATTCTGGGGCCAAAAATGGGTCTGGGACGAAAGATTACATCCGAGGAAGGGGTCGGGAGATCTGGGGCCGCGGTTGAAACAGTCAGATCGGAGGACGTCTGGGAACACGGCGTAAATCTGAGCTGTCGGAGCCTCGAGCGGATTCCGCGGGTCGGCGCGGGGCCTCCCTGGCGCGCTCTCTGCGCGCCAGGGGCGGGGGCCCAGCGCCGACCCAAGAACGCTTGCGCTGACTCGACGGCTCCTTTTCTCCTGTGTTCAGCATCGTTTAACCGATCCCTATCCTCTTCTCCATCCCCGTCCAGATCCCCACCATCCCACCACCCTGGTTGGGGATATGCCCCCCGAAACTCGAAGGGAACAGCCTATATCCCCATCTAGGGGATCAATCGGCCATTGGGGTCCAGGCCACGTTCATGGGGATAGGGGTCGGTCAAACGATGCCCATGTGCAGCAGGAAGTTTGTGTATGTTTATGCTCCCTTTCTCCTTCGAGCGTCGACCGCCTGGCCCGCGAGGGCGCTGTGCTCGATCAGTACTACGTGCAGTCCGTCTGCTCCCCCACGCGCGCCACGTTCCTGACCGGGCGCTACCCGCTGCACCACACCGTGAACGACTGGCTGCGCCCAGGGCAAGCGACGGGCCTGCCGCTGAACGAGACGCTGCTGCCCGAGCTGCTGGCGCCGGCGGGGTACCGGCGCCACGCTGTGGGCAAGTGGCATCTGGGCTTCACCCGCTGGGAGCACACGCCCACCTTCCGCGGCTTCGAGTCGTTCGTGGGCTTCTACGGCGGCGGCGAAAGCTACTTCAAGCACGAAGCCAGGGGCCTTTTCGATCCGATCAGATTTCGATTCCAGCTGGCCCGATCCGATTCGATTCCGAAATTCCGACGATCCGATTCGGCCCGATGTTTGCATGGCGTTGTTGTGCATTCTGGCGCGGCCGATCCGATGTGAGTTCGACTCCGTGCCGATGCGACTCGATCCGACGGACATTTCGATACGATCTGATTTTCCGATGCAATGTGGACTGATCCTGCGAGTCTGGCGGCTACGACTTCCGCCGCGACATGCAGCCGCGCTGCGGAGCGAACTGCTCTCGCCTGGCCAAGCAGGACTCGGGCCACTACAGCACGCACCTGTTCACCGCCCGCGCCCAGGAGCCAAGCAGTGGCGAAGCGTCCTGACCTGCTTGTAGAATGATTATCCAAGCACCTGCGGTTTTTTCTGCAACATATTCTTAGACCACTTCTGGTTGAGACAATATTGTTTGGCCACTCCGTTTCAACATTATCAGAACCTTGCTTTTGTTGTTAGGGCGTTCTTGGTTGTAGGAACATTCCTGGTTGTAGGAATGCCAGAAGAGTTGGACCCTGCTCAAAGGAGGTGATCCAGCAGCACGACACCTCGGAGCCGCTGTTCCTCTACCTCGCCTACCAGGCCGTACACGCACCCCTTGAGGTCCCCCAGAGTTATGTCGACGCATACGCGGGCAGCATCGAGGATCACAGGAGGAAGAAATACCGATACCGCTGCTCGCTGCTCGTCCTGGAGAGCCCTGCCGCGGCTGGATTCTTTTTGAAATTCTGACCGAACGCACCCGGGGAGAGGTTCGTGGGCCAAACAAAAAAGATCCGGATCCGCGGCCTCGCGGGCCGGACCCTTGGGCCGCGACCCCGCGGATGTGGGACGTTTCTTTCGCGGATCTCTCGCGCGGAACGAATCCGTGCGTCCGCATATCCGCGGGCGACACAGATATGTTCGCCCCAGAGGACCCGCAACGCCGCGGCTTCGCGGGCATGCTCTCCTGCCTGGACGAGGGCCTGGGCAACGTGACCGGCGCGCTGCGAGCCAAGGGCACTCGAAGAAGAAACATGCGCATAAACACAAATTTTCGGAGGTCCGCGCGGATCTCTTGGATCGGCGCTTGGTTTCCCTTGGCGGCGCCGCCCTTGGCGCGCTTCGCGCGGCAGGGGAGGGGTCCCGCGCAGATCCAAGAAAGCGTGTGCACCCCTGAAAGTTTGTTTGTGTTGATGTCATTGGGTGTTTCTCCCCGTAGGCATGCTGGAGGACACGCTCGTCATCTTCACCACGGACAACGGCGGGCCGTCGTCGGGGCGCGTGGGCGGCGACTACATCGGGTCCAGCAACTACCCCCTCCGTGGCGGGAAGCACTCCATCTGGGAGGGGGGCACCCGAGGCACTGCGCTCGTTTGGGCTGGCGCGGCCACTGGCCTGCTTCCGCAGGCGCGCCAGGGCTCCGTGGCGCGCGCGCTCATTCGGGGGTTGCTGGAGATGTCCCTGGCCTGAGGTGTCCCCAACTTGTCGCGCCATGGTGGAGTCCCTGCAGCCCGTCCTCCTCTTCCTCTTCCTTTTTCTCGTCCTCCTTTGCCTCCCTGACGCGAATACGCTCCAAGGGTTAGTTCGTATCGTCCCGTGCCCTATTTTGTGGCCCGCGGTAGATGTCGTAGCGCATTCCCCCTTCGCATTCCCTCCTTCTCACCACAAAATGCGCTGGAGATAAGACGGCGCCCTTGTATGCCGTCTGGGCCTCGCCAGGGGTGCCCTGGAGGCCAGGGACACTTTCAGCAGAGCCCGGCTCGTGCACGCGGCCGACTGGCTCCCCACGTTGTGCGCCATCGCTGGGGCCTCCGGCTCCTGCGACCACCTGCCACTCGACGGCGTCGACCAGACGGGTGCGCTCTTCCGCGGTGAGCCGGGGCGCAGGAGGGAGGTGCTGTACGGCAGACACGACGACGCCTCCGAGCGGCACGATGGTTACGACACGGCCGTGCGCGACGACGACGGGTGGAAGCTGTTGCAGAATTGGGGGGGTCAGCCGGACGAGTGGAGCCAGCAGGTGAATTGCACCGCGGAGGCGCCAGAGTGAAGGATCAGTCTCACGACCACCACCATTCGCTACCATGAAGAGAAGAGATCCTACAGACCTCCGGGCTTTTCCCAGCACTGGTTCTTCGTCCTGCACCGTATTCTGACGGCCCAGGGGCCTCAGGAGCGGCGCCCGACAGCGCTGGAAAACGTGAAGTTTGTTTTTCAAGACGTTGGAGGTTTGGGGGGATGGGTCTGAGGCATCGTGAGGGAGGACCAGCTCAGAGGGCGTGGAGGCACCGACCCCCAATCGCCAATTCATCGCCTATGGGGGCTTGTTAGCGAGTATCGCACTCGGGAACGTGCGGAGTCGCTTTCAGGGGCCCATCGCCGATCTATCCGCGATGCGTCGCCGATTTCAGGTCGGCGCTTTCCCCCTGAGCCAGCCCCCCTGTAAAGGGTTCCCCTCAGTGGGGACCGGGGCGGCGGTGGTGCAGAACTCCTCGGGGCGCCCGCTCGCAGGGGGGTGCCTGCACGCCCGCATCCCTCGGCGGCCCTGCGCAGGGTCGCGCGGCGAGGAGAAGGTGGCGGCCTTCTGAGGAAGGCGGGGGGGGGTCCCTCTCAGGAAGGGGCGGGAGCCTCCTGACCCTGACTCGGAAGATGTCGCACAAGGACGAGATCCGAGGGCCCCTCTGGGAGGCCCGCCCTGAGAAACGGTGCCTATTGGACGGGGGTTCGCAGGCTTCTGAGCCGGCGGCTCAGGCGGCGAGGAAGGGCGTTCTGAGAAGCTCTCCCCCTGCTTTCTCAAAAGGCCATCCCTCCTCTCCCCTCATTACCTCCTGCATGCCGCCACTTGTGTCCGGGTCTCGGTCGTTTCCGACTGCGCCGCAGTCGGTTCTGTTCGGTCGGTCCGGTTCAGTTTGTTGTCGCATCGTTGCTCTGTCCTTTTGGCTAGGCTGGCCTGCGGCCTGTACTCTTCGGCCGTCTTCGGCTTCGTTGTCGGTTTTCGGTCAATCTTTGGTTGCACCGTGTCGCCGTGGACGGCCTCCAAGCTCTAAGCCTCCAACAGAGCAGCAGATTCTGCCGCTCCCTGGGCGGTGGCGGCGTGGCGGTGAGTTTCTCGTGCGTTTCGTAACGGGGAGCGACGCATGGGGGGGGCATCGAGGGTTGCAGGAGAGGGGCCCCAAATGGGGACCACTGGGGCCCCGAAGGTGCACGAAAGGGGGACAGTTCTTCGCCCCCCTGGTTCTTGTCGCAACGCCCGGATACTAGCCAACGGGGGCCTCAAACAGTGCGGTCTTGATGTGAAGTCAGTGTGGTGCACTCTGCTGTGGTGCGGCAAACTGGGCCTCCGCGCGCGACCGCAGCGCCCGAGTCTCCTCCTCCCTGCGAGGCCTCTGAGTGCCAGGCGGCCGCGGCCGCGGCGCCGCCGACGGCGCCCCGCGGCCCCCCGGCGGCGATGCTCTTCAATGTCCTGGACGATCCGGGCGAGCGCCACGACAGGGCCTTCGAGCGGCCCGACGTCGCGCGGCGCCTGTCCCAGCCAGGGCTCGAGCTAATCGGTGTTCGGGCGATTTCGTGGGCCGTCTTTGTTTTGATGTTGTTTTGCGGTCAAGGCGGAACGAAGAAAGCACGAGGGCAAACGAAAACAACACGAAATCGACCAACACTGCTTAGCTCGAGCCCTGGTCCCAGCGCCTGGCTGCCTTTCGCGCGGAGCAGGTCGACGTGGTGGGCGGCGGGGGCCACCCTGACCCCGCCTGCCCGCCCTACAGGCCTGAGGGGGAAGAAATCTGCACAATCACAAGATACGGGAGTAGGTGGAAATAAGAAAATACATGACGTAGGGAAATAGATCAGGAATCCTGGAATTCGCGTTGATTTGTGTGTGTGTGTGTCCCCCTGGCCCCCTCTACGGACGCCGGGCGGCGCCAAGCGGGGACGCTTTTGAGAAGCGGCCCCGCTCTTGTGACTCTGGCATCGCAGCGTTTATGTTGTCGCATCCGGCGATTTTGCCCTGTTTCGGGCCCTGGGACCCTCATGGATCCTGCTCCTCCTCCTCATCATCCTCCTCCTTCCTCCTGCCCATCCTCCTGCTCAACATCCTGCACATCCGCCACCCCCCCGAATGTTCTCAGCTCTTCTTTTCTGATTGCGCGTAACTCGATGGGTTCCTTCTGAGGGCTCCTGTCGGCGGATAGAGTAACTCAGCGCAGTGGGAAGGAATCGGTGGGAGGGGTATGGGGTGCCCGATGTGACACGAGCGCACTTGGCTTGCCCCCACACTCGCCCTGCCCCCTCTGGCCTTCTCCTCCGTCGTCGCAGCTTCCTCGCGAGGCCGCCCCCCCTCGGGAACCCCGACCCCGCCTCCCTGGGGCCGGCGCTTCGTCCCGAGGGTCGTCTTCCGATAGGCCCGGGGGGCCAGGAGCGGCCTCCATCGAAGACGCCCCAGAACACCGACCGCCGTTGTGCTTCCGCCCCGCTGGGGTCCGAGGGTGCGCACGCGCCGCCAGCAAGGATTCACGAGGGGGAACAAACACACAGACACAAGGAATCGTCGATCCCCAGGGAAATATTGGGAAATATGGGAAGTGGGGGGGGAAACGGAAACCCAGAAAATATGGTAAAATATGGGGATTCCTGGGAATTGTGTCTATTCATGTGTGTGTGTGTGTCCCTTGGCGCCTTCCAAGGATGGCCGACCACGTGGACGCCGACGTGGGCCACTTCTGGGAGCCGTGGTGCGCCGCCGGCACCACCGCAGGGCGCGGGGCGCCAGGGCCGCCGGAGCCGCGGGGCGGCCCCGAGGACGGCGTGATCAGGCACCTCGGCGAGCAGCAGCACGTGGTCTGAGCGGCCCGCCTCGATGCCGCCGCGGCAGACCCTGGTTGACCTAAAAGGGCGTCCAGCGAAAAGGGGGTGGTGCAACAGATTCGGTGCAATAGGTTTGTGGGATTGCAACAGATTTGGGTTGTGCGCTATATTCCCGGGCGCAAATGTATTGCTGGATTTTCGCGTGCAATACTACGCAGTACAAAGCAATACAGTTCTCTGACGCAATACATGTGCAATACAATCGCCCCAAACCTAATTATTGCACCACCCCTTTGCACTTTGCAGCTGGACCCCCTTTTGGGTCAACCAGAAAGACCTCGGCGACTTCCCGGGGTGTGTTTGCGCTGGGCTGTGGTGGCGCCACGTTGCCCTCGTTGGGCCTCTTCGGGGCGCGGCGGAGACAACTCTATCGACGGCGACGACGACGGCGGCGCCTGCGCCGACGGTGACGACGATGGCGGCGACGACGAACATGGCGGCGACGGCGACGACGGGACCCCAGCCCACGGGCGAACTTGCGCCCCGCCCTCGCTCCTGGAGTCCAGGGCCATATTTCATGGGCGGAGCGAAATTTCTGCGCGCAATTTTACCCCACCCGTTCCTCCGCTTTACTAAGGCTCTCTTTTCGCTTTAGTAAAACATCGTTGTTTCGGAATGTATCGAGCGGCGCGCCTTTACCAAAGCCGCCTCTTCGTTTTAGTAAAGCCGCTTCTTCGCTTTAGTAAAGACGCTTGTGTCGCTTCAATAAAGCCGTTTCCTCGCTGTAGTAAAGTCCGCGGTCTGCCGTAATAAAGCCTTGGGGATGTGGTGGCGATGCGGGGCCAGGGCCCAGTCGGGGGGCGGGGGGCCCTTGTCTTTCCTGCCGGTTCACCCCGCGATGCATTTGCTCGAGTAAGCCAGGCCTCGTTACATCGGGTCGGGGCGACCGGATGTTTCCGTCGAGTTGTAGATGCTCCTTGACAGAAGATTCACGGCGCGAGGGCAGGACGCGGCTCGGCAATTCTGACGCGCCGCCACGGCTGCCGCGCAACAGAACAACAGCATTTTACTAAATGCGTGTTTCCTTTAGCAAATAGCTCCTTCAACGTAATAGTGTAAATTTTACCGAGAGCTGGAGAGTTGGTCCGAGACATCTCGGAGCGAAGAAGAGGCAACACAACATCAGTTTCCCGAGGTCCGCGCGGATTTCTTGGATCTGCGCTGGGCCCCGCTGGCGGCGCCTCCAGCGCCGCCTACTGGTTCGTTCTGCGCGCCAGGGAAGGGGCTCCAGCGCCGATCCAAGAACTCCGCGCGGGCCTCCGACAGTCCGACGGTTCATGCCTATGCTTGTGGTTCTTCCGCCATGGGGGACGCAGCGTGCCGTGATTAAGCCGAAAACGCATTTAGTTTCGACCCCCCTGGATTTTTCGGCGGCGAGCAAAACTGGTCCTAAAACCTCTTCGTCGCGGCAGAGATCATGTTCCCTCTAGTGTTGGGCCCGCTGGATACTTGCTGGGTTTCTTTTCTCGGGCGGAAAACTTCATTGTGGACGCCCTGCGCGCGAGAGGATATGCAAGGATCTCCCAGGAAGATTGCAACAGAAATTGCTTCGTTTTGATTCGCGAGTTTGCTCAAAGTCGTTTGCTTCGCCCTGTTGGCAGACCTCCTGCTGGCGCCTGGTCGGCGCGCGCGGCGACGTGGGATCAGTTTCCCTCTAATGTTGGGCGGGCCGGGCAATGCGCGTTTTTTTCTCCAGCGGAATTATCTATTTTGGGCGACCTTGCACGCGGGAGGATGTGCGAGCATCTTCTCATGGGGAATGCATTAGGAATTGCCTCGTTTTGACTCGCGAGTTTGCTCAAAGTCGTTTGCCTTGCAATGCTAGCAAAACTCCTGTTGGCGCCTGGTCGGCGCGCGCGGCGACGCGGGCATGGCGCCCCCTATTGTTGGGCGGGGTGGGTAATGTTTGGGGGGTATTTCTCCAACGGGATAATTAATTTGGAATTACCTTGCACGCGGAGGAATGTGTGGGCATCTTGTCATGGGAATTGCAACGCACATGTGCTCAATTT